CCCGGAGCGGCGGCGGCGGCGGGGAGCGGCCGGAGGAGCCTGCGGGAGGCGGCGCGGGGCGGCTCGCCCCAGCTGAAGCGCGGAGCCCTCCCCGGGGGGAGCCGGGGCCGCGGCGGCGACTCGGACAGCGCCTCGGTGGCCTCGTCGTCCGCCGAGGAGGAGGGGAGCACCACCGGCGCTGTGGCCCTGGACCCCCTGGAGCACGCCTGGATGCTGTCGGCCTCGGACGGGCGGTGGGAGAGCCTGGAGGGGCTGCTGAGCTGCGAGCCGGCGCTGCTCTGCAAGCGGGACTTCATCACCGGCTTCACGGTGCTGCACTGGGCCGCCAAGCACGGGCGGCAGGAGCTGCTGGCCACGCTGGTCAACTTTGCCCAGCGGCACCAGCTGCCCGTGGACATAAATGCCCGCACCAGCGGCGGGCACACCGCGCTGCACATCGCTGCCATGCATGGCCACGCCGAGGTGGTGAAGCTGCTGGTAGGAGCCTACGACGCCGACGTGGACATCCGTGACTACAGCGGGCGCAAGGCCGCGCAGTACCTACACCAGGGCACCTCAGGGGACATGCGGAGCCTTGTGGGGGCCCTGGAGGAGGAGGAGGAGGAAGGGTCTGCCGGCAATGGGAGCGGGCGCTGGAGGCTCTCCAAGGTGTTGCCATCCAACCTCATGAGCTACCGGCTCTCTCACCACCACCACCACCATCACAGCACTGGGGAGGAAGCTGAGGGCACAGACGGGGCAGCAGTGCCAGGCAAGGGCAAGGAGATGACCAGGAAAGCCTCCGGCAGCGGGCGGATGAAGCCTCGGCTTAATAAGATCCGCTTCAGGACTCAGATCATCCACAACACGCCCTCCTTTCGTGGTGACACCGAGGAAGAAGAGCATGAGGAGAAATCCCTGAAAGCGTCATTCAAGCTCCGGCCGAAGTCCAATGTCTTTGGATAAGGCCAGGGAGCAGGAGGTCTGGGAGGTGGGCACACAGACCCAAGTGCCCTAGAGTGTAGCGCAGAAGGTGAGGCAGGTACGAGTGGGTGCTCATCTACACTCGTGTACTCCAGGGAGATGGGTCCTGGGTTTCTTGTGTTAACTCAGTTCGGCGGGGTCAGTGAGCCCGGTGGGTCAACAGGGCTTACAACTCCCGAGAGCAGCTGCTTCGGCCAGACCCTCGGTGCTGAAATGAGAGGCAGCGGGTGTGTTGAGAAACACTGGGGTGTCTAAAAGCTGTGCTCCTTTCTCTCCCAAGGCAGGCTTCTGAATGGGAAACCGTGTTAAGTGAATCTACTAGGATTAGCGAGTTGAGCGAGGGAAAGAAAAGTGCAAATCCTCTACTCTTATATTATCAACTGGTACTATAAACTACTTAGAAACAACTTGCTATGTAAGAACACCTCAGTAATATGCAAATATACTTTAAGTTTCTCTTTAACAGCAATACCACCTGGCACAGTGTGGATTTGGGTACTCAAAGTGAGATGGTAGATAACAGTTTCCGGTCGAAATCTAAGCTTCAATCCAGCAAAGACTTGAGCCTATGTTGACTTTATTCATTGCAAATTGCCTGATTTGACAGTGTGAATATATTAAAAAAAAAAAAATCCAATGCACTGCAAATAATGAATAAAGTTGACCACGTGCAGAAGTCTCTGCTGTCTGAGGTACTACTGAGCTTACTTATTGCTGTTGGAATACTAATACAAGGTAATGGAAGCAAAGAGTCTTTTTATATATTTGGTATCTTGTGTTTTGTCTTAGGCAAAGCAATTTTATTTTAATCACTGTGAATTCTCAAGTGCCAGACCTAGCGCAGTTCCAATTATTAAGTCTGGTCAATTCTTGTTAATGTTGTTTGTGTAACTCACTGCATTTAAAATCAGAGAAATTGTGTTGTATGTGCTACCTGTGAAAGTTGTTCTCTTTTAGGAAAGAGCACAGACACCATTGCATGAAATCTTCATGAAACTCTAACATGGTCCTGTAATATGTAATAGCTACAGGTCTGCGTTCACTAGTAACTTGTGTGCCAATCCCTTCAACTGACTTTGTGCAGAAACGGCGGGGGGGGGGGGGGGGAGAAAAAAAAAATAAATTGTGAATTCACAGACAAGGTGTATAACCAGAATTCTGCAACTCTATCCCTGTTTATCATCCTGAGTGAAAGCAGTATAATGACATAGTGTAGTTAAGTGATGGCAATGGTGTTTAAGTTCTTTTAAACCTGTATTTCTAGAGAAGTGATAACCAAAGCTTTGAACTGCTGTTTAACAACCTGATAAATCTTAATCTGATTGACAAGCCTATCCGTCTGCTAAAGCTTTCAGAAACCTTGAATCTTGTTTCTCTGCTTCAAAGGTAGCAATTCCAGTGAAATACAAGAGGCAGATTTGTATCCAGACTTGGCTTTCCTTAAGAATGAGGTATTGAGCTGACACTGGATCATAAGATCATCTGTGCTTAGATGTTAAGGTACGACCAGTTTCAATGCAACATTTGCCAAAACATGTTTCAAGTTGGCTTCCTCAGATGTACGTGCATGTCTGGCCGGTAATTAACCAAAAGTAGATAGGCTTTGACATGCTAAAATCCAAATTGGAGACACTGATTAAATGCATACCACGAGCTCTAGGACACCTCACAGGGAAACTGCTGCTGGGAGTTGGGCACTTTCAAGGTAACAGCTGCCTGTTGCTGGTGGCTCACATTTCTTATAGGGACAGGGGAAGGGACCGCTAGCGATTCGTTGGTTTCAGACTTCCCATGTGGATGAATTCCCAATTTCTGCACTTTGTGTCAAAACCTAATAAATTACAGTATTTGCATAGGCATGCAAGCAACACTTCACTCTTCCTGGGAAAAGTTACATGCAAAAAAAAAAAAAAATCAAATCTCTGCATAGGTGCTGGTCATTACTTTTGTGCAAAAAGACTAGAAATTATGCAGAGGTTCAGCTTTAGATTATAATTCATAAGCTATATTATTAGAGATTTCTTGTGCCTTCATTTTGGGTTGCTTGCCACAAATGTGATGGATAATACCAGTTTTGCAAAGCACTTTGTCTTTACATGTGTGGGACAGGACCAGAAATTTTCCTCGGCCCTCCTGCAAAAAAGCAGGGGGGTAATATCATACTAATTATACTGTAATGGAGAAGAGAATTAAATGTCTAAATCTTAAACTTCCTTTGCCCTGGAAGATAAAACAGGTTTTTAGACTTCTGTAGAAAGGAAGTTTTCTGGCTGAACACTTGCAACGTGAGCCCTCTTCAGCATGGCCACTTCTGAATAGAGCACATATTCCATGCAACTATCTATGTCCACACCTTACTAAAGTAACTCTCTGCTTTGAGAGTGAATAGTTCTTTCATAGGAGCTCTTGGGTAAAGTGTTTATCTCTTCACATGCAAATTGCACAAAAATACTGAGTCTTAGATAGCTGTTGGGGTCTTGGAAAAAAAAAATAATGAGAATTTCAATGCTTTGGGATTTGGAATATAGCACACTTTGGATTTTAGAAGACTAACTGGAACATAGTTTTATCTTGCATAATACAGTAGAACTTTGGTAATTACTGATGGAACTTGAAAAATGGTAAAAAGACGCCTCAGTTATAACTTATTATTTGAAATATCAAAGTGATATGGTCCTCTCATGCTGTTTAGCTGACAATTAATGACGTTTCACCATAACGGTCCAAAGGTCTTTGCAAGATGGGGTGCAACAGAGCAAACAGCTCTGTTGGTGTTTGAGAGATATTGACGCATGGATAGATAACCACTAGTGTCTGTCTGTGCTATGGGACTAAAGCACTTTGATTTCACATTATGACTTGTCAACATTCCACATGGTTACTTTTTATAACATGAGCTAAAACTTAAGTTTTGTTTGAAGATAGGAAAGGCTTGATGCCCTGTTTCAGAATATTTACGGTCTAAAGGTACTCTTGAGTCAAATATTTTGGATACGTTGCCTAGAAAGATGTGAATTTGAAATAAAGTTGTATGGTACAGAAAACTGGAGCACTTACTGGTGTCTTTAATGGTGTGCTTGAAGTTACTGAATGTGTGTTCACTCTTTATGATGGTGTGTAAGGCAGCAAGACTGTAATGTAAACATTTGATATCTTTTATTGTATCCTATGTTTTAAATATTTTAGAGGCCTGGAAGCCCATCAGGTTTTATTAATACAACTTTTTATCAT